ACAAACAATAAATATTAATACAATTTAATTTTAAAGTAAATATTATGAAAATATAAACTTGTACCTATATTATGCCTTCTTTTGTTGATAAAATGTATTATTTCAAATGTAGAAATATACCTACGACCCATAAAAACTACTTTTGTTATAAATTATTATTCAATATGCACCAGCGCCCTCAATAATTGCAATACAATATAAGAATCTTTGTTTTGTTATTTACAATGAATAATTTTGAATACATAATAGATACTTAAAAATGCATAAAATTAATTATTTATACATGCTATTAATAGTATTTTTGAATTATAGGATTTGGCGTTTACAAAATTGTAAAAATTTAAATTTTAAAAATCGCWATAGCAGTTGTCAATGGCTGAATTTCCACGTCCTATGAGAAATATATATTCGATCAAACCCTTCTTTAATTGCTCTCTGCAAATATCTTGGTTTTTATATAGTTTCAAATTTATTTTGATAGGCTCTAAACTGCAGTTTTTCTTCAATTTGATTTATTTATTCATCAATATTTCAAAAATGTTTACCGGAGTTTAGTAATAGTTGTAGGTTCTAAAATGCCTTTTTGAAGGCGAACGATACAATTAGATTCAAAAAAATGGTTGCAACATAACCTATTACTTATTTGCAATAGATTGATTAGCATTGATTGATAAGCTATCATCATCCTTTATAATGTTTCTTTCCGGGAAAATAATCCACTATACAGATCACAGTGACATTATGGTGACGTTCACTTGAAAATAAAAACACCGGATACCTTCCTAAAGCTGTTTTTTTATTATTATATAATAATATTCAAAGTTAAAACACTTAAAACACTATATAAATGTAATTAACCATTCTTTTTTTTTTATGGGGGGCTACGGCATCCAAATCCCCCCTCCGTAATTACGCCACTACTAATGGCTATAAGAGTCCCATATTTTAATTTCTCCGATTCTATTTTGCTAGTGGATAGATCGTTTGAGTACTTATTTAGGGATGGTCGTACTTTTCCTTGTGCAAACTTCGTACTTTTTAATTTTTTCAGTTAATCGATTACTTCGGTTACTCGGTGGATATTATGTTGCTTGCTGCGCCTTCTGATTTTCTATATTCTTAATATGATATAAARAAGGTGACCTATGAGTAAAGGTCATAATAATAAGATTATTTATCATAATATCAACATACCTAAACCTATATATTTGGTGTGCGCTGTGATTGTGCYATTGTCATATCTATATAGATTAATAGTATGGGTTTAACTTAGAGGTGGTAAGGGTTCTCCAATTCCTTTTGAAACGTCGTCTGCGCTTATATTTCGATTAAAAGTTTWATTTTTWATTTTTAATATGGTGTCTAGAATAATTATTGTAGTTAACGTAAATTTGTCACATTTGCATAATCTGTAACGTGTCGTCGTATAATCGTGTATGTTAGTAAGCGCCTCCGCGCTTAAATAACGTCGATTAGCAAGTTYRCCGGCACGAGCTGCGGTGTCCGAGTGGTTAAGGAGTTGGACTCGAAATCCAATGGGCTCTGCCCGCACAGGTTCGAATCCTGTCCGCAGCGAAACGAAACTTTTTGACAGTTTTTCTCCAGCTTTCCCCCCCGTTTACCGATTCACAGCGATTMGTTTGTTGCACGTCGTGTCCTCGCGGGCAAACGTCTCGGCGTCGCTCCGGCGGGTACTCGGAACTCTTAGGAGAGGGAATTCGAATACCGTTTTCGGCAAATTTTTATTCGACGCGTCACTAAACTACACTACACATCAACAACAACAACAACAACAAGCCAACGACGATGACAACAACACGTCTTACTAGCTGCTGGTACTCMGCGTCCCGTCCATCGCACGGTAATTGCCCGGTAGGTTTAGCACTGGGACGACGGTCACACTGTAAACGCCGCCGCCGCCGCGCCGTCGGTTGCCATGAGTTACACTCCGCTCTACTACGACTGACGCGGTCTGCCGCCCCTCACACTGCTCACAGTCCTCACACTTGTTCACARTCGGCCYGTCGCTGCGTTTGTAGTCGTYAGGCCCGTTTGCCGTCGTCGTCGCCGTTTTTCATTTTTTCTGTTTGTTTTGGAGGGACTTTTTTCTCTTGCTGAGTTTTGAAATCGTTTATCGTTCACACGTACACGATCTAGAAAACATCATGTCCGGACGTGCTTTTTCYGCAATGAAATGACATCCCGCGGAGGAGACCGAAACGAGTGAGTACCCATGAATCAATCATAGTGTTTACGTTGGCCTAAGGAATTATTATTATCGTCGTGTTTTGTACACCTATCGCCCACGGGTTACGTCTAACTTACTTGTTGCGCGGTTATAATTTATTGGTTTCGAGGGAGTATACTGTACTTCCTATTATATATTCCTTTCCAAGCGTACGAGGACTCCGGACTGGACACTGCCTATATAATTATTGCAGTATGATACTGTGCTGTTGGCCAGCATTGTCTGTGTCCGTCATCCGGTTGGATTCGCGCGGTTTAGTATAACTGCAGAAGTGTATTGTACTTCGGTCACGTCACGTTGCCCTTAAATGATCCATGCCGAAAAAAATCGACACCCGTTTCGTTTCCAGGTAAAAACCTGGGAACGAATAAATGACGACAAAAACAACAACAACAACATTAACGACGACGACACGACCTTATTGTCCGGTGGTGGTGTCCACTCGACGACACGCGTGCTTCACAATAATATTTGTTTATTATCATCACGCGATAAGACGATTATAAAATTCAATATACGAACACCTGTAGTGGCTGTTATTGTGGCCGCGCGCGGGCAGTGTGTGTGTGTGTGTCGCTTGATCTTCGATCATTATAAATTGAATGTCATTATGCTTTATTATACATATTTTATACGTTTCCTATGTTGTTCGTACAATCGTACCTTTACGCACGTCCGGCGTCGCGTTGATATTTCAATATCATCGTCGACACACAAAAATTGTAGGAATTCGTTACAAGCATTATGGTTTTCCGTGGTCTGGCCGGGAATTTTTTTCTGGTTTGAGCATTTTAGGGAACAATATCCTACGTCCGATTTTCAAAAACTGCGTACCTACCTAGTTGTTAATATGATGAATTGTTATTGTGCGACAATCGAAATTATATTTTATAATATTGTTGTCACAAAACTACAAAACACTCGAGTAAATCTCGAAACTGGTTATAGACTACAGAATATATAAAATTATTCGGAATTCTGAGGTCGGCTGATTGTAAATGCGTGTTCATTGGTAACGTCTTACCTAGTCGATTTGTCTTTCTACACGTACCTACATAGTTATGATCGTTAGTTATCATAGTATTGAATAATGAATATTAATGTAGGTATATTACGTTAATTACGTAGGTATATTCTTTTGAATGCATTATAATATTATTTATAATAGGTATTTATTTTATTGTTATTACTAGCTTAAAAAATACAAGATAGGTATATAAATACTTAAATATAATATAGATGTCTACATATGTCAAGTTTTGTGATAAGGTAATTCAGTACGTTCTAAAATAGTCAAATGGTATTATTTACATTTGTTTTAATACGTTATTTTGACGTACGTTGGCAAACTTGAGTGTTTGCGATATTTTAATGTTTAGTGAGATTAACATAAAATACGACAAATTATTTCGTAAAATACTAAAATCGTAATAAGAATAACAGTTAAAATTGTATTATTTAATCRTATTGTAAAGTATCATACTCGTATATATACCTAGACAGGATAGACACCTAGTTAACATTTATTACATGTAACCATGATGTAAGTACCTACGATTACTAAGACGGTGTGTTGTGTGCAGTGACTGTAGTATGCAACAGGTGTTTGTACATTTATTTTTTTGTTTACTTATTTTTACTTTTTAGGGTTGTTAAAAATATTTCCTTTTTGTCGAAACTACAATATTAGTTTCTATATTAAAATGGAACTTAAGTGACTTCTGTAAATTATTATTATTATTATTATTATTATTGGGAGACTATTATGGCAGTGCGATTTTTTTCTGGGTAATCAGTTTTTATAAATCTTTGGACCATATGTGATGGAATATCTGTCGTAAAAAACTACATTGAAATATTTACTTGGTATATTATTGTAGTTACACCCCACCCGCGTGATCTTTCATCATTATTATATTTTATCACCGGCTAATGCGGAGAAAACCATTGTGTTTCTTATTATTTAACCTGAAGTCAWACAAAATATAAATCGAGGCAACGAATCTTAATTTAAATTGTAGGCAGGTATACCATTCACCAAATGAGCGTGCCATAGTCTAAATAATTACGTCTGACAACGATGTTCGGCAGAAATTTCAAATAMTGCGTTTTTTTCGTCAAAACACCTTAACATTGTGACATCCTTGACGGTAGAGTACCTATATTATTCATTTGAAAAAGTTGTGAAAAATTGATTAGAGTTTCGTCAACATGGTCGTTCGCGCATTGTGTCGATGCACCACATTGTATTTCATATTATATATAATACGAGGACTACTGGTTTTCAAAAGAACCGTATAAAATGAGTGGCGTCCTTCGATTATTGTCTAATAATAATGTAGTGCATATTATGATATATATATAACATTTTTTTCGATCGCGCAGAAAGTGAGAGTGAAAAAACTTGATGAATAATATTATTACAGATACCTATACCCATCATTATTGTTATTGTTGTTGGCGTCTGGTGGTCGATGGGTTATCAGGTGTGTCCCAAAACTATCTTTATTTTTATAATATACCGGACGCACCTGCTGTGAGTCTAGAATTCAAAAAAAAAAAAAAGATGAAGAGAATAAGGTTTTTTTTTGTTGCGCCCTATAAACCTCCAGATAACATTCCAATAAGAAAATAAGAATAGTGTTTCTTATAGAATAATATTTAACTATATAAGCAAGTGAATATTTGTAAGTTGTCTGGTTTTAGATTATTAGGTACAAGCCATATAGGACTTAGTCAGGCTCTCAGGCTTGTAGTTAATTTTAATATGCCATATTACTATTATTTTTTTTATTGATTAATGCATTAATAAGATTATTTTTCACAAAATARAGCTTTATTTCAGATTTAAAATTTACATATCGTAAACAAGGGTAAAGTAGACTTAGTTTTTGAAGCCAAAAAAATACAAAAGAGAGGAAAAAAGATACCTATGAAAGTTTGCTTTTCAGTTAATACGTACAAATTTCATGATATATTATGAACTCTTATTTTTGTTTTGTTATAAAGAATTTTTAAATTTTTAACAGTAACTATAACTTTAACTATATTTTCATAAAACAATTTATGATTCACCATAAAAAAGGGAAGGTATTTTATGATATAGAACAGCTGGTGATGCTAACGCATCAYCTTCGAGCTGTATCATGCCCGTCTATTGACTGCTGTTTGACGATGTCAACAACGATGTGCCAAGGGGAAATGTTTACTTAAATACGGCGTGAATATTTATATATATATTATATGTGTTATGTGTATATACAATAAATAGTACAGTAAAGATGACGATTATATCATCCGTGAATATGATTGAACTTTAGTGGTTTGAAATGGAAATAAAAAAAATAAAAACGCTTTAATGATTAACCGACTACGGCGGCTACGGTGGTAGCCATGACCCGTTTTACCCTATCGGATCGACCGARAGACAATATTATATTATATACGCACGGCGAGAAATTAGTTTAAGGCGTAGGTACACACCTCCACCCGCACCGCCACCGTCGTCGTACTTACGGTCGCTGCTTCAGTAGGTATGTAGACAGTAGTCACCAGCAGCCTGCAGTCGGATTCCTTTTTATCTATTATATACAAATATGGTACCGATATTCCACCTTCACCGCGCCATACTATATAGATATATATGTAAATAATATAAAATAACGTACGTGGCCTGTTTCTTAACGCGCGCGATCGTGCACGCAATGCGTACCTTATATTATTCATCGTCGTAAACTCGGTAAGGTCTGCATCATTGCATGACGACAAAATCTTTGCGTATCCTCGAACYTCCTCCACCCGCCATCATGGTGTATATACTAAGCGAGTCTTACATAACCTCGGGTTTTAAGTCGTATCTTAACACTATTTACTGTCATCTCGAACGTTCGCACTTAACCATATTCGTATATATGAATGGGCGTGCGTCACCGTAGTATTAGATTGCTGCAGTGTATATGTATGGCTAGTGTATACAATATTATGTTATTTTAAAAATCAAATAATTTATGAATTTATGATAAAAGTTTTTATTATTGCTTAGAAGTTAATCAGTTTTTAACGTATTTTTTTGTATACTGAAAAATTTAAACCATAGTTTATTGAAYAAGTTATAATTCTTGTCACATAGTTAAACTGATAGATAATACCTACTATAATTATGTTATTTTTTCTTCTTAAAAAGTGTTTTTTGGGACTTTGCTTTTATTATATGCCCTCTAAAAAGTGCCTATCCCCAGATTAAAGAGTATGCAAGCGCACATCCTGGATACACCATGCGTACACCCAGGCCCCCCACATCATAATTTTGATCCTGGTACAGAAGTAAATCCGGGCCCTAAACATTTTTTTACTATATATATTGAAGTAAGTAATTGTTTACATGAACGGTGGTCCCCTCGAAAGTCCAGGCTCTAGTACCATGGGCCCTTCCACCTCCCCAYCCTTGTGGGGGCCCTGCGCACGCCTATTCATGATATTAATTTGTTTTATAATATTATTATTCAAACTTTTTAATTTTACTTATTCGAGATTATTGGCTATCGACAGGCCGACGACTCCTTTAAGCTATAATTATTAGACCTATAATTAATGTTTATTATCCTTCTACTATTATATTATGGTTGAGGTATAGTGTTTATACATTTTCTATTGTTTCGTCCGCCATTGCGCAATGTACCTATAGTATGTATAGTGTATACCTAATATATCCTAACTCTATCAGCATTCACGCGTTTTTTGTATAAATATAAATTATGACGAGACAAGCATACTTATCAAGACWTGAGATTATATACTTATGCGTGTATGTCTGCAGTATAATATGTTTAGTACASGTTCACGATAATAATAATAATGCTCGTATAAGATATTTCCATCACGCAGGAACGAAAGTGTGCTGCGCCGCGACCGGAATGATATGAGATCCTCCGTCGATCGTCATATTACGCGTACACGATTCAGGGGAACCTGTTTC